TTCCTGCTGGTGATTGATTTAAAATAGTGATGGAACTTTTTATGCTAATGAAAAATTACAGATAGATTTTGACCAAAACGGAAAAGACCGTTGATAACAATATAGGAAAGTTTAATCAGACAGGGTATGTCACAAACACACCTGTATTACGCTGGCTGGCATAACTAAGGAACTGCAGTTAAATTTTATCTTAGGAAAAAAATAAACCAACATAGGTTTCTTTGGTCGTTACTTCTGTCTTTATGTAAAAAACTAAGGAAATATCCTCCAAGTAATTCTTATGTTCTATTAATTTGTGTAATTGTATATGCAAGACTGTAGAGCAGATTTGCTGGTGTGAATAGGAATGGTGTTTTCAGTCGTTAGGCTGCACTCCTTGTCTTCCTCCCTCACCTCCTTCAGAAGACAGAAGGTAACTGAACTGATGTTCACTACCCCGTCTAAAGCCCCATGCCAGGTTAGGGTGCTGCAGTGCTGCATGTGTGATCACCAGCGTTAGCAGACACTGCAGAAGCCCTCTCTAAACTTGGCTATTGTGCTGTGAAATCTTTTCAGAATTGGCATTCTTAACAAAAACGAGAGATTCGGCTACTGAAGAGTTGTGCTTTGAAATACTTGAACTAGTGAGCAGCAAAACAGTGGCCGTACTGTGTCAACCACTAAAATACCAAAAGAATAATCTGCAAATACCTAGTTTACTACGTTTTCTCAGGCAACGCTCCAAAGCTTTCAGAAGGTGAAGCTAGACTGAGGCCTCTGGAACAAGGTTAATCCTGCAGAAGTGTCACATGTGACAACATGGAGGATGATGAATATAGCTTGGTTAGATTCCTTTGAGATACACACTCAGAGGCATGAAGTGCAATTTTAATTCTTTTTTTCTATTATAAATATTAAACCAAAATCTTACAATGAATATAAAATCTTTACAATCTGTACACTTTTTCAATCTTCCCAAACAGCATTAAAACACATTTTTTTAAGTTGCCATAGAGACCAGTTACAACAAAACAACAGGTTGCTACTGTAACAAAAACATTTCCAAAAAAACCTTACAAGCTACATTAAAGGCAGTTTTGTTTAATCTGAATATGATCAGTAGCCCTGCCTTGTTAATTGTGACATTACCTATTTACTTACATCTTTAAACAATCAGAATTCACACTTAAAAAACAAACAGGAACTGGGGAGGGGAACTTGTTTTTTTCTTCCTTCCTGTATGTACATGAAACACAGCTGAGCCTAGAGGAGGAACAAAGGTGAGCGCTTTTCATTTAAATTAGCCATGACAAGATAGATTTCAGTATCAATATTTGCTAACATGACTTTTAAACAGCACTTAGTACTTTAATTATCTTTTTTCCTAGCATAGAGCAGCTTGAAGATTAATAGAGATGTGAATGATTTCTGTTCAGTAGCTTTGTCAGTTTTGGCAGTATCCCTGTAGTCAGTTTCTGCTATTAGTCTTTCCTGCAGCAAAAAAAGGAAGTCCCAAAAGAAATTAGGAACTACCACCATTTAAAAAAAAAAAAAAAAAAAGACTCTTCAGGGACTTTGGGCAAGCAGAGAACCTGAGGTACTTTGAGAGCTTTGAAATCCTTCAGATATCAACTGACTACTTTGAAGCAGGAGGTTTTGAGCATACATGAAGCACCACATACTTGTTCTGTAACATCTTCCTGCAAACAGATCCCTTTTATGTCATTCAGATGGCTGAAGATCAGCTTGTAGGAACAAGATGACAGCACAGACACACCTTAAGTTTGCATTGAATCCTATACGAATCTATGGGCATAACTCAGTTTTTTAAGTACTCCGTCTGGTAACAGGAGCCTTAGGACCAGCTGCTGATGTTAGGGAACTTTCTTCTTAAATGTTTGTTCATGATCTGCAGCCCCCAGCATAGACAAGGTATATGCATACACACGACCACAAGCTGGCAGTTCACTGCACAGCAATATTTAGGAACCTTAGCTGCTCTCTCAATTTTTATCTGGTTTAACTGTTGCAGAAACAGACTTAATTGCTGAATGCCTATTAGATATACACCTTGCTGTAGTTCCCTGAATAGAGGACAAAATCAAGAAGCATACAGAAAATGGGCAAAGCAAGTTTGCAGACATGACCCGAAAGCCTTTCTGACTGCTTCATTGATCAAAGTGCAATTCCATGTTAATTGTTAATAATTAAGGTTTAGTGTATAAGGAAATAAAACTGCACAATATTCACAGCTGCTGGGTTTGTTCAGTTATTTACAGTAAGGTAACAGAAAATTTACTACTACTACTTTTTCTCTCCATTTGTTTTTACTTACACATGGAGCTGCAAGCACAATCCAAGTACGAAACAAGAATCTAGACTCACTGAACTGGCAAATAGTTCCATGTGGACTTTTTTAAATAAATAAAGCAGTCATATACTTAGTAATGACTGTAAATTGTAGATGGAATGTACATTTATACCACTAAACACAAAGCACACATGCTCTTGTAATAGATTGACTAAATTTCAATCTAGAATGGACTTGTAACTTACAAGTTTTGAGGAGTGTTAAGTGGACCTTGTAGATAAATACATCAAATCGTAAGGGATGTTTAAATGTGTGATGGATGCCAAATCCCTGTTTGATAAATGCAAGCAAGATTTATACAGCTCTTAAGTGTACAGATTCTCTTGGAATGCAAATGCAATGTTAAAACAAGCTGTTCTCACAAGTAGATTTATCAGTAACTTGAAAGACAGTTTTGTTGTCTCTGACCATGTAGACCTCGTGCCTTTAAGAAAACTAAGTTACCTACCTAGCACCCTTTACTATACAAAATTTACATGCATAAGATGTATGTACATCTTATGTACATGTTGCATACATACTCATCTTGACTCTTCAGCTAAAGTGCATGTAAAATCTAGGAGAGAGAAAATGGAGAACCCTTGGTTAGAATCAGATTGATGTTAGGAGCTCTGGAATACAGTAACTGTTGCACTGGGATTACTGTACAGTTTCCATCGTAATACAGCCCTTGAGGTTCTACTCCACAAAGGTGTCCACTCTGACATGGGAGAAAACTAATCAACCTTGTCCCACATCTGCTGTGTGTGGACAACAAGTTATTCCTTAAGCAAAGTAAGTATGGCAAAATGTTCCAAGCTGTGGCACGGAACACAAAATTGGAAGCAGTACTCAATATAATCTCATCTGTTTTAACTTAACAAAAGAAAG